CCAGTTCCCAGCAGGTCATGCCCGGGAGGGCACTCAAATGCTTAGTTCTCCTTGCCCACCTCCATCCCACCGAATCTGGGGCTTAGACCTGCACATGTCCCTGTGGAAGTCTGGGCTGTGCCCACCATCCTTTACCTCTCGTGTCCTCTGCAGGTGTGAGATGTGAGCTGACAAGGACTGCAGGCAGTGCTCGGGGCTGAAGTGCACAAACCACAGCTGGGATGGGCTGGTTAAGGAAGGAATCTTTCCCTGCTTCCCCCTCCATAGCCCTCTGCTCCTTGAGGATGGTGGTACAGACCTTCCAGAAAGCAGAGCTAAGGCAGATGGTGCCCATGGGATGCTCAGACACAGTCAGGACCCAAACAACTTATCACACAGCTAGTTTTAAGCCATGAGGGTCTGGGCTAAGAGAAAACCTCAGGCTAATGGGGAAGAGAAGTGGCAGAGAAAGGTGACATTGCCCCAGAGGGCAGCCAGTCCTTCTCCCTCACCTCCTGCAGCCTGGGGTGGGAGAACAACAGGGATAACACAGGGTCATTGCCCATCACTTATCTCAGTGACCTTGCAGCTAAATAAACTGGTGAGGCACAGCCACTTAGCTCCCCTAAACCCCTTCCTGCTTTCTTGGCTTTTTTTTTCAAGGATTCATTCCTTTTGTTTTTTACTGCTGGTCTACAGGACAGAGAAACTGTTGTGAAGAGTTTTCCAAGAGCAACTTGTTGGGGATGGGGGTCCTGCCAGCTCTGAGGCAGCCAGAGGTCTGTCCTTGTACATCTACTCAACCTGCCATCATCAAGGGGATCCAGGAACAGCATGAAGCCAGAGGGGTAAAATGGATCTGACATTGGAACAGACAGTAAATCCTTGGGTTATTTGCTGCTCTCAGGCAGTTCTGGGACACTGAGGTGAAGGTTTGTTGGATTAGTCCTCACTTGCTGAGGTGTAGAACTGTGCTGATCTGAATAAATATGTAATTCAGGTTTATAAGTGTTTCCTCCTCATCCTGCATGACTTCAGCCCTGCCTGCTCTCCTGCAGTATTCCTGCCCCCTTCCCTGACCTGTGCTTCATCCTGGGTTGCCTCTCCAACTGTATTTCATGCCTCTCTATAGCTCTCTCTTTCCCCTTCCTTTAACACATTCATGGGGTCTTAAAACTCTCCTTTTGCCCCTTAGTCTTCATCTAGTCCAGAAAAAGTATCTCTAGAAAGCAGATACTGAGCCCAGGGATGGGAATTCTGGTTTTCTCCATTTTGGATTTTGAGGGGGACATGACTCTGGTTTTCTCTGTGTTGTTTCTTTTGGGGTTTTTGTTGGGGTTTTTTACCATGGCTGTCACTCTGCTCATAATAAGAATCATCACTGTCACATAACTATAATACACCTTCAGGAATAATTACCTGCCCTAAGGACTAATCCCACTTCAATCTTTTAGGCTCATTATTTCCCATTGCCTTTGGGCATATCTCAATCCCCAAATAAAGGAGAAGAAAAAATACCCAGTCCAACAGGAGAAAAAACAGATCCTAGAAATCCCAACCTCTGGATCAATAAATACCTCCACATCATCAGCTACCCAGGAGGGATAGGAACAATTCCCTGCAAAAGGATACTTTCAGGATGCTGTGTGGCCCATCCAGGACATCTGTAATCCCCACAATTAAATTGTGCTCCATAAAGATTTCATTGACAGCTGCCAGCCTCACGTCTGTGTTCATGTTTATCTGTTAAAGAATGCAAGGAAAATTAACACACAGTACAGCAAAAGTCAGGTCAGCCTATGGCTATAATCTGCAGCTGGATAATCCCAAATACTTGGTTTCTGAAAAGAAAACAGTGACATGATCAGAATGTGGCCAGGGCAGGGCTGTCACCAGCCCTCAATATCGGCCTCACCATCACTAGCAGATGTCTGTGCAGACAGAAATCTCACTAAGGACTATTTCTGTTATAGACAAGATGCCTGAAGTGGATTTGACTTCCAGTGTCATGTTCTCTCTTCCATCCCCAGCAGCCCCAGAGGAAAGGGCTCCTCTCCTGAACCTCTGTGCACCCCTACATTTGCCATGCTCTGCAAGGGTTTATCTCTAGGGTGACCTTATTGTGATCTTCCAGTACCTAAAGGGTAAAAGAGAGCTGGAGACTTTGGACAAAGGCCTAGAGTGACAGGGCAAGGGGGAATGGCCTTAAACTGAAAAAGGGCAGGGACAGATGGGATATTGGGAAGGAATTCTTCCCTGTGGGGGTGCTGAGGCACAGGCACAAGTTGCCCAGAGAAGCTGTGGCTGCTCCATCCCTGGGAGTGTTCCAGGCCAGGTTGGATGTAGCTTGGAGCAACCTGGGCTGGTGAAAGGTGTCCCTGCCCATGGCAGGGGGGGGAATGAGGTAAGCATTAAGGTCCCTTCCAACTCAAACCACTCTGTGATTCTGTGATGTCCAGCAGCAGCAGGAGGTTTGAGCCAGCCTGACCAGCTCCAACACCTACATTTCAGGCATTACAACACCTGACTTGGCTGTACAACATCCCTTGCCTGAACTTGATCCCTGAGTGCTGTAAAAACATTCCTTCCTCCTTAGATAACTATATTCTTTGTATATATATATATAGGAGAGGACCTGGGTCCTCTTACCTTCCTCTGTCGATGATCAATAACCAGGATCAGCACCACAGTGGCTGTGATGGCAGCAAGGGTCACCAGCACACTGGCTAAAAAAAAACAAAGGAACAGAGCTGGACTGTGGAGTAAAGGTTTGTCCAGAGGGAGATGTAGAAAACCTGTAAAAAAAAAATAAAAAAATCGATAGACTTGTGATAGTCACAAAGCCATGAAAGTAAGAGAAGTCATGGGAAGAAGAAAACTACCAATTCCTTCTCCCAGGGTAACACCATAAATTAAGTCACACAAGGTTTTCAGAGGGTGAGAAAGGACAGAAGTTCTTTCCAGTAATAAATAGGGGAAAGAAAGGACTGGAAGGACTGAGTGAGCCTTAGTTTATTATAAAATATCACCAGTCACCAAAGACAGAGAGGGAATTATTAATGATGATCCACACCCAGGAAGGATTTCAACTGAGTTCTTCCATTTAGATAAGAAATGCACTCACTGAGGCATATTGATAATAACTCTAATAGTCCCTGTATTTAGAAAGCTCCTAGGTCAAAGCACTCAAGGTGGTGCAGAAACCATCCAATTACAATAACACTCCAATGGTGGACACTGACACTGAGCTCAAGGACTATGTCAAGGACTGACAAACTTGCCATTTTCATAAAGACAGGCAAAACTGAATTCCTGTACTTCAGCTAGCAGGTTTTGGGGCAGGAGGTTGCCTAGAAGAAAGTATGACATGTACAGCACAGTGTGTCACAGCATCATCTTGTAGTAACATAACTCATTTCCACTGAGCAGGCACCAAACCCCTCAAAACACTGAGCACCAGTTCCTACAATATTAGTGAAAGGAGGGAAGGACATACAGAATGGTTATCCAAAAAAATAAAAGCAGCTCAAACAACAGAGTCAGATTTAATCATACCCTCAGCTCTGCAAAGTACCATGCTGATGGTTGGATCTCTGGAGAAGCTTCCCTCACCAGAAGAAGACAAGGAAGGCTAGATAACCCCCCCAGTAACCCTCACCACAGCAATGGCTATCTGGAATGCCCTGGAGTTGTAGAACATGTATCTCCTCACTTCAGGCTTTAGGACAGCATCTTGGATCAACCTCCTCCACTGATCCACTGGCACCTGCTCAGGGAACAAACAGAAAGCTGTAGAGTCACGCTCCACCAGGGTCCCAGTCCCAATGGAACCAGCTTGGGGAGTGATTATGGGGCCAGACTGGCACTGCAACCCAAATCTGTGTCCCAGAGCACCTTCCCACAGACCATATCTCCAATCCCATCCATACAGCTGTCACAGACCAAAAACTTGTGTTCTTGCCTCATTTGCAGTGAGTAATATCTGCCTGGAAAGGGCATGGAAAGTCACAAGAGAAAAAATTACTTCTTATGATGAAGGACAAGACAAGACAGATCATCCCAGGGATGTGCTGCCCCATCAGAGTGACTTTCAAGCAATTCACTTCAACCTATGATGAAAGAGTTTCTTCGTGGAGGTTTAAGCCAAGATCATCACAGTTGATTTGCAATCTATGGGGAATAGACTTTAGTTGGACTGAAACAAGTGTCTCTCAAACCAAAAAAACCCACAAAGTCATCTGTGATGTGGGTGTAAATGCAAATTATGCTAATCTAGGTGGTATTACCTCCCACAGGGTCCCCAGGGGAGCTTACCTGAACCCCAAGGGACTTCAGTTTCTCTGCACAAAGCTCCATGTCAAAGGAGGAGTTGGAGCAGGTGTTGTCCATGCTGAGCACCATGAGCACGTGGCCATCGAGGGGTTCTGCAAGAGCCCAAAAGAGCCATGAGCACAGCACTGCAGGGGATCTTCTCCCAGCAGCTAAGGAGCACATGGCAAAGGGAAGGCTGAGAACACAAACCACCCTGATGTGTTGAAAAAGAAACCAGAATCCCCCTTGGATGTTTCTAGGAACATCACAAGATGCTCTGGAAGCAGCCTAATGTCCCCTGGAAGAAATCAAACTGCAAAAAGGGAGCAAACCCTAAACATTCCAGGAGTGAGCAGTCAGACATAACAAGAGATAACCTGATGCTCTGATCTTCAGCATGATAACGTCTTGCCTCATCAATCCCTAACTGAAAGGATGATGGAATCACACTGCTGGGTGTATCTAATCTACCTCTTAGAGATCCCCCATGCCTACCCACCCCACCCACCACAAGAAACACCTTGAGCAATCAACCTAAAGTGCTTTCCAGTAACGACATTGTCTGGGATGTGGCAGGGGTGGCCTGGAACATGTGCCCCATAGATCCTCCAGCCCCAGGTTCCCTGCTCCAACAGTACTTCTGGGCAGGATGGCTCTGCTCAAGGCTCTCAGCTTCCCAGTGTCAGCTCAGGAGAGGATCAGAGATGTAATCTAAAGACCCAAGTTGCAGTCAGGAGCCTAAAAAGTGTGAGGACAGCCTGTCCTAGATTTGAGGAGCAGCCTTGGAGCTGTGATCTCCAGGCATCCCATCTGGTGTTCATCTAGAGCTTACACAAGCAGTGCTACATCAAGGGGAAGAGTTTGGGTCTAAGGAAGTGACTTGTTCAGCCAAGATCCTGTTTCACTGGCACATTTTACTCAGCTTTCCTTCCTCTTTGCAGCTCCAGGGTCAGCCAAGTGTCCCTGGGCTTCTCCTGATGACACTTAGTGCTCTCCCAGACTGCTGTGCTAGATGAAACACCATGTGTGCTCACCTTTCCCTTCTCCCCACATATATCCTCACCATCTCTTCACTGCTCTGGAGCAGAAGAAGCCAGAAGAAACAAGGCAATTACATTACAATAGGGTGTGACTGCATGGAGCATCTCCAGGATCACGAGGTCCTGTTTGTTTGCTGAGGTTTATCTCCTCCTGACACAGAGCAGTGAAGTTTCTGAGTAAAAAGCAGGAATAAAAGCAAATGCCCTCAGCTTTTGGCTCAGCTATCCTGTTCTCCAGGGCTTTGTTCAAGTTCCTCAGTCAAACTGGATAACAAGCTGAGGTATCTGAGATTTACAGAAGGGCTCAGCTCCTTGACCTCCACTGGAGTGACCACAGCTGCTTTGTCCCTGCAGGAACTGAGAACTACAGAGTTGTCATGAACTGACCAAGCTAAAAGGGTGTCCTGCTGAGCAGGGAGGTCTCAATTAGAACAGGCATCCATGGCTCTGCACCTCAGGCTGTTTTGGAATATGTGCTGCAGAGAGGGAACAAATTGTTATCATAGAATGGTTTGGGTTGGGAGGGAACTTAAAGATCATACAGTTCCACCTCTCTGCCATGGGCAGGGACACCTCCCACTAGGCCAGGTTGCTCCAAGCCCCATCCAAGCTGGCCTTCTCAGGGATGGAACAGCCACAGTTCCTCTGGACAACCTGTGCCAGTGCCTCAGCACCTCACAGGGAAGAATTTCTTCCTAATATCCAATCTAAACCTGCTCTCTGTCAGTTGAAGCCATTCCCCCTTGTCCTGCTGCTCCAGACCCTTGTAAACAGTCTCTCTCCATCTCTCTTGCAGGCTCCTTCAGGCACTGGAAGGCCACAAAGCTTTCTCTTTTCCAGGCTGAACAGTCCCAATTCTCTCAGCCTTTCTCACAGTAGAGCTGATCCATCCCTGTAATCACCTTGGTGCCTCCTCTGGACTCATTCCAACAGGTCTATGTCCTTCTTGTGCTGGGACCCAGAGCTGGAGGCAGCACTGCAGCTGGGTCCCAACAGAGCAGAGCAGAGGGGCAGAACCCTTCCCTCACCTGCTGCCCACAGTACAGCTCAAGTTTCCCACAGATTTCTTGACTTTTGAAGGCCAAGAGAAGAGGACTTCCAGGGTCCTGCTTTTCAATAGGTTGATGTCCATTCATTCCTATATATGATGCTTTCAAAAAAAAAAATCCAAGTGTCTCTATTCCCTTCCCAAAATGCTGAAACATCCATAATGTTTTGCTGCTCCTGTTAATGAACACCTTGAACAAACCTGTCTGTGGTTATTTTAGGGGCACTGTACTCAGATCTGCCTCTCTCCTTATGCACAAGCTGTTCTCTTACCTGTCACCCACTGCAGGGATCCTTCCTTTAAATCACTCTTACAGTAGAGGAGGGAGGACCCATTTTTCTCAGTTCCACCAGTCTGGTTTTTCTGGGCCATGCTGAAGGTGTCTCTCCTTGAGGGATTCTATGTCATCTTGTCAGAAATTCAGCATTTATATCTGCCTTATCTCTCCCTGCTGAGAAGCACCAATTCAGCCCCACAGCAGCTGGTTGGGGAGCAGGTTGTGACACCCTCACTCACACTCCCACTGATGTCTTCCTTGAGATGCTGCTTTCCATGAGCCAGGAGGCATTTTCTAGACCTGAGAAGAGAAGCAGAAAATCCTAAATCTTGCAGAGATAGCAAATAAAGGATCTCAGCAGCAACCACTTGGGTGTACTGTGCTCTTTGGACCCCATTCCCTGGGGGTGTTATCAGCAGTTGGCCAGCCATGAGCACAGTACACAAAGGCTCAACTTCTGCTGCAACTACCTCTATGTTTTGTGAAGAGGTGGGAAAGTTATCCTTAAATACTCCATAAATTATCCCAAGCATTCACATTTCATAAGCAATTAGTCAAGGAACAAGGATTTCTCCTTGCCAAGCCTGCAGACTCTTTGCTTTCGCTTCCAGAGCAACATGGAGCTGATATAAATGTCCCTCCCTGGAAGCAACTCACCCTGCTCACTGCCACAGGGATCAATCCCCACCACACGAAGGAAGCAGGGAGATAAGGAAGAAGGCAGAGGCAAGCAGGAGCTCTCACCCAGCAGCAGCAGAGCCTTTGAGGGTCTTTGCTGTCCTTTCCCCTCTCCTCTCACCATGGGCAGTGCCAGGAGCCGATGGAGCAGGTTCTCACAGCAGGCACTGTGCCCATGGGTTTTGCAGCTGTTTCCCTGCTGACGTAGGTCTCTAACCTACTGCCAGGACCTGTAGGTGGTTTTAATAACCAAACAAATGCTTGGAAGACTCTGAAGTTTACGTTTCAATTATCTTTCCCTCACGTGGCTCTGCTGCATCCAAACCAGCTCTCCAAAATCAGCCTTTCCTTCCTAAGCTCTGCTTGGAGCAGGAACCTGTTGCTGTCTCCTGGTGTAAAGGTCCCTTATGGAGCTCACCCACTCTGCTTCCAAGCAGGAGTGGTTGATTTCTGACTGCTGGTTGTTGCTGCTGTTACCCTCTTGCATAAAGCCAGGATAGCCCCTGATTGAAGGACTGTTGGAAAGGAAACAGAAGTGAAAGAAACAATACAAGAGATTCTTCTGATCACAGCAAAAATTAGTGCAGAGGGCTGAAAACTTACACTTGAAGAATCAAGCCATGGTACAGTTGCACAGGGGATGTGCAGTGTGTGTGTGCCCAGGATGGGCACAGCACCTGCTCTTCAACCAGCACAGGAGTGATTCCACTGAGCACAGCTCTCCCATGGGCAGCCACATGCTCCAGAGCACATCACCCAGCACCAAAAGATGGATTTGGACAGTGAATGTTTCTCTTTATCCCCTTTTGCCATCAATCCTTTCAGGTTAGCATCAGACAGAAGGGAATATGAAAATCAAGATAGAAAAGCCCACAGAAAACAGCAGCAAAGGGTGAAATACTAGAGGAAACTAAAGAAAACCCTGATTAAAAACTAAAGAAAAATCTAACTAAAATCAACCACCCTGTCCCTGGCACATTAAATTAGAGAGGAATCAAGGCTCTCTGGCTTAGATGCTGAGGATTTGGGGTCTCTGGAGGACAGTCCCCAGGAGGTGACAGTGAAGGTGCACAGGGTCAGGGCAGCTCAGCCATCCTGTGCCTGTCAGGGAGCTGCAGGAGAGAACACCCTCCCCGAGCCAGGACAAGCTCCTCAGCCAAAGCAGCTTTACTTTTGCCTCTTTGTGCAGCACAGACCTTGTTTGGCGGTGTTGCCTTTTACTGCTGAACTGCCCATTTTGAGGGTTGAATCCTCCCCAGATCTTCCTCTGATGCCTCCTGTGCTTGCGTAAGGGACGTCCTCTCATCTCCTGCACTCCCAGGCTGTGTCCCTTTACAGCTCTTCTCATTCTTTATGCAATGCCAACTTCTTTCTTGTGACTTTGCCTCCTTCAGGCTACAGACCTTCTGTTTCAGACACCTCTAAGCCCCCACCAAACAGCAGAGAAACATTTAGCAAGTCCTGCTTTGTTTCCAGAGCAGCCCACAGATCCTTACCTGGTCCAGCTCACTCCTGGTCCTGGGAAACCACCTCAGCTCCCTCCTCCTCCTCCTCCTCC